GATCGAGAAAAGCTCCGCCGACAGCCAGTGGCTTGCCGCTTCACAAAATGACGCGGAACCATATGCTGCGAGGTAGGGCGCGATGGTGCATGGAAACACTCACACAAGCTGAAACGATAGGCTATAGAAGCCTGAGAAGAAGGTCAGACGCGTGGGGGATGGTGTAGGTTGGTCAGTTGGTGTAGCAAGGTGCAGGAACATGGGAGGGATGGAGGTGGCGTCCGAGTTTCAAGACTGCGGCTCAGCACGAGGACGGAGCTCTGTGAGTGGCTGAAGGCTCTGGGCAAGGGGCTATTCCCTTTTCGGTGGGTGCGTCCGTTCGTCTCAAAGAAATTTGGAGCATTGGGCTCGCCGGGCTCGTCAGTCCGTTGCCATTCTCTCGGGCACTGAGACTGCGTTGCTCCATCCTCTCAGTGATGATCACAAGACCTCCAGCGAGGCCGCAGTCGTTGCTGCGAGCCTTTGTCAAGCAATCAAATCCCGCAGTATGTGCAGACGTGACGGATTCCCCAAAAGCGCCCGTCTTCTCCCCGTGGTCTCTGGATTGACTAACTCTTCCTCCTTGAGTGACAGCCCTCCTCTTTCCTCAAGCGACAGATCCGCAGGAAACACACCGTTCCCGTCTGGGCCAACCAGGGGAAGCAGGAATTCTTCTCACGCCACGGCGTCCCCGGCTTCCTGAGTGCAGAAACCTACCAAGAAACCTACGTGAAATACACCCAACACCTATGCGACCGCCTCAATGAGCTCGTATTGGGAACGGCAGACGAGTCCTCCTCGACCTATGACTTGCACGCAAAATGCGCACATCGCTCCGATCGGGCACATCTCTACAATCTCGCCGCCATGGTCGAATTCACGCGGTTCTTTTGGGAGTACCTGACCGAGAAGGATGATCCGGCGATCCACAAACCGGGGCTGAACACCATGAGAAGCATTGAGGCCAGCTTTGGCAGTGTGGAGACTTTGAGGGAAGAGATGCTCGAGACCGCGGACGCCATGTTCGGCAACGGATTCGTGTGGTTGATGAAGGGGAAGAACGTGGGCGACATGCGCATTCTCGCCACGTACAATGCCGGCTCTCCATACCCCGATGCGGCACCCAGACGGGATGATAAGGACATGGCGACCTTCGACGGGCGGACGCTCTCGGATCAACTCTCTGGTCGCGGAGGCCTGGGATTGCCGAGTTTGGAAGAACGAAACATTTCAACAGGCAACTCGACGGCGGGCTCGTTCGGAGATTTCAGCTCTTCACGTGCCAACCTCTACTCGGGCGCGCTGGATATGCAACCTATCTTGTGTGTCAATGTGTGGGAACATCAATGGCTCAGAGACTATGGGCTACTGGGCAAAAAATGGTACTTGGGCGCGTGGTGGGATCGTATTGACTGGCAAAAGGTGGAGAGTCAACATGCCTTGTACGAGACGGGCGGAGAGTGGAGCAACTATTGGTCGAGTGGCAGCAAGTCGCCGTATGCGTCGTCAGGGGGATCGAGTGTGTTGGATGCTCTGAGAAGGTAACACGAAAAGTTGAGCGACATGTCGGTGCATGGTGGAGTTGTATGAATACATGGAGCACGCAAAAACAATTGGGTCAATGTAAGACCAGCGGTACAAGGTCATCTGTTCTACTGTATAGATGGCACCCATCTGGGCGTCCCTTTCCCGCGTATGGCGAAGCACCCCTGCCCTGTCCTGCCAACTCTACTCCAGACTTCTCCATTCGGCAACTGGGCTCTCCACGCACAGACCGGAGATGCGAAGCACGGGCCAACATGTCGTTGGTACGGCATTGACCGTCCATGTCTGTAGAAATCCAGTCCAGACTCTGCCTCACTGCTGCCGTGGATCGAAATCGACGGGCCCAACCCGAGGCCCTCGGCGAATGGAGGACATGCCGCTGCAAATGTATCCGGCACAGAGCGATTGATCAGAGCTTCCAATAGGGGTAGAGAGCACCTTCTTCTAGAAGGCCAAGGATTCGTGGGCAGGTGGAACAACCACGGATCCCCGTGCGCGACACGAACAGTACATGACGCCGGGGCCTTGCCTGTCAAGCACTGCAGACTGCACTAAAGGCAGCTTCATCCATTGTGACGGCTGCGAAATCCCGAGCTGTCCTGTGCCTGATGGAGTCTCGATCAACTTGGTGAGCATTCAAAACTGGGTGAAATGGCTCGCTTGGGCTGCCTTGGGTCGTTAATCCCAATATCTAATCATTCCGTCCAGTCCACCTGTCGCAACTTTGCTGCTCTCGTGTTGATGCCATGCCACACATGTAACTGCACCCGCGCCTTCGCCTCCGGCTTGGATCTTGTGCCACATCTTTCCCGTTTTCCAGTCCCAGAAACACACATACCCGCCGGAATCGCCGCTTGCAATGATTCCGCCGTCCGGGGATATGGCCACATCGATGGCGTAACCGCTGGTGTTCATACCTCTGAAGCCCTTCTTCCGATTCTGTCGGAATTTGTCTCCCGCGGCATACACGACGATTTGGTTGTCGGCAGATTGGAAAGCGACGTATTTCCCAGAGGGGTGAGGCGCGGCGCGCACGAGCGCGTACATGGACGGATCCGCAATGAACTTGATAGGTACGGGAATGCCATACTCCCAAGCACGGAGAGATTTATCGTCGGATGTGGAGATAAACCTTCGTCCCTCGTCGACAAATGTGAGTGTGTTGATGGGGCCGAGATGGTGGTCGTATTCTTGGGTCAATTCACCCGACCGGATGTCAAATTGGACAATCTTCTTGTCGGCCATGCCAGCGATAAACTCGTTACCCTCGGGGTGGAATCGCAGCGTATGTGGCGTTTTCCCCGTGGTGAACCGAGATATACATTTTCCGGTCTCTGTGTCCCAAAGCTTCATCTGACGGTCATAAGACGCGGACAAGAATGATTGTCCCGTGGGGTGGAAATCGGTGTCTGTAATCGCCTTGTTGTGGCCCGAAAACGTGCGCAGGAGGGTCCGGTCATGATGAGCATCCCACAAAGCGAGTTTTGCATCTGCGGACGACGAAAGGAGTAGGTGCGATGATTTTGGGATGAATCGCAACGAGGTGATAGGTTTTGTGTGGTACTTGTAGACGTGTATAAGTTTCTTCGGCACGTAATTTTGTATTGAACCTGGTTCTTTGCGAAGGTCGACGTCCAGATCTTGAGGTACGTGCATGTACGTCCGTCCTTGGTAATCGAATTCTGAAGCGCCGTGAAATCCAGTCGTCTCTGCAGCATTCGAATCGTCGGCATATCCAGTGGCTTCCTTCGGGGGCGCAGGTAGCGGCGTGGGTACGATGCCCTCCTCCACCCATTCCTCGTCCGAGGCAAGTTCTTGATCCGCCGCGGCTTCTGCTCGCTCATAAGCAACATCATCGCTTTGATATTTTGCCCAAGGACCGAGGTATGCGCCTTCACCATCGACTATGCTGCTGTCTCCCTTTTTCTGTCTCTTTGCCCGAATTGCGGCACTTTCTTGCTTGGAGTGGCGCAACTGGACGACGTCTTTGCCGCCGTACCTGGCAACGGCGGACTGATCACCCACAAATGAACCGTTCATCGTGGGATCCTTGGTGTACCCTAGGCTCTGATATGTCCTGTGCTGCGTCTTGAATGCGGCTTCCGACATCGATGTCTCCTCTGCATTTCCGGTGAGGACATTCTTCCGCTTGAGGGCATTGCCGGCCGTAGACTTGAATGGATTTGCTGGACCCTGGGCCGGGCGGGCAAGGTTTTCGTAAGTAACATTATAAGTGAGCGCGTTGCTAGAAGGGTTCGCCAACATGACTTGCATTTGCGACACATCCTGCGCCCCGTTAGACTGATTAGCACATCGTCCGGTGAATGAAGACCAAACCTCTGTTGATACGTCTGGTGCGCAGTTTATTGCGGGCTTTTGCCGAGAAGGGCGTTCCGCGGGGCTCTGCTCGTCGTCGCTCGAGTCATACGCTGATCCTAGAAGGGCGGACATCTTGACCGAGTCTGACCCTTGCCGAGGAAAATCACAGTGAAACAATAGAGATCCCGTCCTCAAGTCATCCAGACGAGGGAAAAAGTTTGGGACTGGCGCGTGCTGGTGAACCTCGTGATGGCGTCGGCCAAGACGCACATGTCTCGGTATACATGCCTTTCTTGATAGCTATGGTGGCGTTGTGTCCACCGAAAGGTCAGCACCCTGATGACTTAGTTGATTTCACAATCAAGCAACCGTGTTGAATGCTTCTCTACAAGTAGACGTCTCCACTGAACCTTGCGGGAGTTGGCGGCGCATCTGAATGTGACGCAATAAAGCCTGTAAGACGAAGTGATACCAATAAGGAGGGTTAGAATTTGAGCATTAGGACAGGAAATGGTGGCTTTTCCTCGCTTCTGCCACCCGGGACATTTGCATATTGTCGCGTCATGCTTGCAACGGGCCTGCTGAAAAAATAGCCCTCTCTATCGTAGACCCTCCACCAGCTGAAATATTTCAGAACTCCTCTGCCTCGTCGTATCTCATATCTCGGCTGTACAGGTCGAGTAGCAGACAGATAAACCAACCACATAGTTTTGGGAAATGTCGCCCTTCCAAATCTTGACCATGTGAGAATCTTTGCTCTCTGACTGCCGTCGCCGCTTGCACCGCCTTTTGTGCAGTAGAATGAACCTCTGGCGGACTCGCCACTTCCCTCCTGGCTAACTTGACAACCCAGACGGGCGAGCCCCGGTGCGTTGGAAATCGTCAAAGTCCCCTTCTCACCTCAACAGTCGCCGCATTTTCAATTTAATCATCCTCTTCACCAGTACTGAAAGCTTCCCTAATTGGCTGACGCATCATAGCAGCAGGCGACCATCATCAGGAGTAACTGCCGTGCTTCATCGCATATGATATTTCACCACGTAGTCAGTTCGACTCGTCCCTGATCAAGGCCACAATCATGCTGTAAAGATAGAAGAAAAACATGATCAAATGGAAGCCGAGCTTGATGAAAGATTCCTATGGCGAAGAACTCGGCATTAGTAACGGAGTGCCACCTCCCACTGAGGGTATGTACATGCCTTTTTATGGACGTTCAGTTTTCGGAAGATCTCTGTGGCGTCAAGTAGATGCTGGTTCTCGATGATCCTACCATGATCCTATCAGTTCCTGCCCACAGGGCAAACTATTAGGTCGGAATGGCCACCCACTTTTTCGCATTGAACGCCAGGAGTGGTAGATTCAACAGTAGCGCCAACCAATACCCGTTGATGAGGAAGAGGAATGTCAAGAAGGCGTGAACGGCGGCTTCGGGAACAATGTAGGTGTTGAGACGGTTGCAGAGATCAATGGGATTGATATAGTCACTGAGCAGTAATCGGCCGGATTAGCAGGGTATATCCTGGACAAGCCGGGCTTGGGGAGCCGTCGCTTACCACTCCAGATCACTGTACATGATTGTGAAGAAGACTTGCAGGAAGAGGTTGACGGCGTTTATCAGGACGGCGAGCAGGTATAACCACGCCTCGCCCGACATTTTGAATAGGTATCCCGACTACACCAGCGAAAGAAGAATAGGTCCAGATATGATCGCCGCTACCTAGACACACTGTGAGAGGCGAGATTGCAATGTGCGCAGGAGAGGATGCCGAGCTTGCAGGGCTAAACAGGGCGGGGATCAAGCAAGGAAAGCAAGAAGCCGGATTGTAGGGCGCAGACCAAGCGCAATTGTAAGGTACACGGATCGTGGGAGGTGTGATTCTGGAGGACAAGCTGTCCTTGGGAGCGCTGGTTGTGGAGTGAGGTGGCCGGGGAGGATGGTGGTGGACAGAACAGGTACCAGTAGGATGTGGAAATGGGCAATGAGATCAGTCGTGGGGAAGACGGACGCAAAATTCACGGAATTCCCAAGTTGTTGGCACCTGCGGGTTGGACGGGAACAAGGCGAGCATTTGCGTCGCCGTAGTCTCGGTGCACGCACAAATCACTCCTCAGACTCCACCGTACAACGATGTCTTACATACACTTTATTTTCAGCCATTGTTGGAAGGGACTCGGAGACGGTGCTAACGGGGAATCTCTCATTTTTTTTTGCCACTCGACAATCTTTGTTTCCTCGTCCGCACATATTATTCTATCAGAAATACTTGTGCTGTAGAGTCGCGCCTTATCTCAGCCCCGCGGCTCCGGTACTACGGTGTGGCAGTGAGACCCACACGCTGTATAATGCCGCACCAGCTTAAATCCGTCCTTTAACACCTTCCAAAGTACGAGGTACCTCGTACCGAACCAGTTCTAGACCTATCCATTGAGCAATCTCAATCTGGAAGAGCAGGGCTGACTACGCTGCAGGGACCAAGTCTCGGAATATCATTACTGTAGATGTATTGTTTTACAGCTATTGACAAGTACATACACATCATCATGTAACAAGTAATAAGTAACAAGTACATCAGAACTCAGGAGTTATTATTAATCGTCACAGGGAGTATCGTTCTAGAAACAAGACTTTTCTAGAAACTCTTGGAAACTTGGTTGAGCGATCCACTGAATCGTCGGTTCCACATCGTCCTTGGTGATATTGACGGACAATCGCTTCTCCAGCTTTCTCAACCTCCCTCACCTCCATGTCGCAGTCGAAGACCGTCGGGAAACCGAAGTGGATCTGGGCAGCTCGGCTCGCAATCCAGGCTCAGATGGAATCGTCGTGACACTTCTATCACCCATAGTTGATGCTGAAGTGCAGGATTATGGGTAAACGTGTCAATGCCGCCACGCTGGTCGATCATCGTCCTCAGGGCATCGGCATGAAGACGAACCTCGACTGGGTCCCCAAAATCCGCAGTGTACGCCACCAACAGGAGCACAGCTTGGATGTTGGCGTCAGAACTGGCTTGCCCTGGCATTCGGAGCCGGTTCCAAAGAATGTTAGTACCTCGACCGAGATTTCTTTCCGCTTCCACCTGGTCCTGAGGACTTTCCTCGGCAAGTGCACGCGACCTCTGCAGTGCGTAGGCGTAGGCGATGAGCAGATGTCGAGAAGCTTCGTTCTCAAGCATAAATAGCAGCGCCGATTCCAACACGTCGCTCGATTGGTAATGATCGCAGAATGTGTCTCGTACTGTGGTCAGGGTGTTAGTATCAGAGTGCTGACTTTGCATGCATTGCCCGGTCACGTATGTACTGGAGCAGCTGTCTGGAAGGGGAACTCACAAAAATCCAAGGCAGAGTCATCAGCAGAGATTGCTATCTGAGATGCGGATGGTAGCATTTCGACCGCGGAGTCTGCGGCCGCTTCACTTGTAGATGAACCAGCTTCTTGTTCGTCACTGGTTGTACGACTGGGCAGATCCGGTCTTCCGGGAATCGAGGGTGCCGGCGAAATCGACACCGAACTGGCGCTGCTGGCTGAAGAGGCTGCAACATCTGCGTCCCCCCTGGGACGTCTGGTCCATTCGAAGTAGCGAGTCTGGCTGGACCGCCGAAGAAGTCGCGCCCGCGCTTCTCGACGTTGTGCCGCTGAATGATATGCGGTATGCCGTTGGATGGCACTTCTGACATTGGGATTCTGGCTATCGACAAATTCGATAATGTTGGAGGATCGGCGTGTGCTAGAGTCTCTGCTCTCACTCCCGCGAGCAGCGTCTTCTTGCGGAGGATCACCATTTGATGACATGTATGAAAGAGTTGACAGAGGAGAGAGAGATGGCTCTGTAGGAGAGAGAAACGACAACTTAAAAGACGAAAGGTAAAGAACAAAAGGAAAAAGACTGACTAGTCATAGGGTCATGATGTCCTACCTCGCAATGCTGGGAACAAGACTTGGACGGGTATTTGGGACGTCAGGTCAATCACAGGATATCTCGCGACTCCAGTCACCAAAATTTTGAACAGGCATAAGCCGTTCGTAAGGAAGAGAAGCGTGCGCGAAGTTACCGGAGGTGCTCCAGCGAGGGCGGAAAGGGCAACGGTGTACAATTGAAGATAGATCAAGAAGTGTAAATCGCCACAGGTGCTAGGTTCATCCCCTCTTGCCATTTTTATACGGATTCTGGAACGCCAAAAAAAGGCTGCGGGTCTATGCGGACACCCAATCCCCGCGAGATGATTCGGTAATGGTCCATACAGTCTGTGAGGTCCAGAACTTTGCGTATAGCCGGTCAGGAAGTCAGTTTGCCTCGTGATTGGGCAACCTCTCGGTCTCGATATCACAGACCAAAAAAAAAATTCGGGAATCTTAAAAAGCACCCAGCGTAGCCTCTAGATGGTTCGAAATAGCGCATGAGACCTTGGCATAAATGTTGACGCCCAGAAGCGTGCGCTGACGTCGTCAGACACCCGGAAGATTGCATATCATGCTGAAGCGCGAGCGATTATGCGGTCAATGGGGGTTACATGAACCAAGGGCGTGCGGATCGGGATCACGCGGACAGGGAGAACGAGGTGGGTGGTGATGCCGAAGGCGACATTTGGTGGGACTTGAGACGACTATGGCTTATGTATATCAGAGAGGTGAGCCTTGTCAAGACGAAGACACAAGGATGGTATCATTTCTTCGGACTGCAGGGGGCGGCCTTGGCGCTCCGGAAGGCTGCCCGGTCAGGGGTTGCTTTGTACATCCGTCAGGCGGGGATTATACGCCTCTTTCGCCACCTTGTGCGTCGATCGGGCATCCGAATTACCCTTATTTGGACTGCCTCGAGTGGTTTTCCCTCCGATCTACGAGCACAGCACCAGGACGAGGTTACAGACCGTCTTTGCGCACCTGCTCCAGTTCTCGAACAATTACATTTCAAAAACGCCTCGGTCTCCTGATTGCTCGGATGCATCGCAAAACCGAGGTTCAGCTTATGAAACCTTTGAAAGGAACATTCTTGATGCCGCTGCTGTGTGTGGGATATCCCGTGCGAAATGCTCCGACCTGCGCCCCTGACTTTCTGGTAAAATCTGAGCCGGCCCTGTTGTAAATCAATAGCTTGGACATGCACCTGGCATGCAGCATTTGAACCGGTTTGTACTGTGAACAGGCTGTTTCCGCCATCGGCCGAGAGCGGCGTCTATCATCGGTTGTTCTCCGTATATGTAATATCCTTGGGGAGGCAAGAAGTTACTGTGCCAAAGCCAGATACGGAAACTCTAGATCGCCCAGACTGGTGCGCGAGAGGCGCCACAGTGTAGGGAGCATGCATGCGTTTACAGAGTGCAAGGCTGTGAATCTGATGGAGAAAGGGTTGTGGCCCAACGGCCCACAGGGCTGCAAAACTTTTCCAGTGCCACACATGTGTACTACAGAGTTAGTACCTTGCAAGTCGCAATGTGCTTACCAAATTTGCCGTAAGCAGACGAAGAATATTCGGAATCTTGAACAACCGTGGGGGATTAGGAGCGAGAATCGGATGCAAAAAAACAACCAACAGTCAGGATTCCCAACTGGTCATCCACTTTAGTATCAACTGACCGGCAGAGGACTTAAATACGCTCTTCCCGTATCTGCGAACTGAATTCATCAATGTTGAGACAGGCAGGAATACATAAGCCTGTAGTGTGGCGGAACCAATACCGGGACAAGGCGGAACGGGGACCAAGTTACAAATGGCAGTTTGGGTCGGTACTTGATGTTCACGTTGACACATTTCATCTCATTGTCTATTGGCTAGTTTCGCTCATGTTCACACATCTTCTACATCGGTTTCCACATCCCAAGGCACCTCTAGGGCGTTCACTTCCTCCCTTTCTTGCCGCGCTTTTTCACATTAGTGCTGTTGGTATTCTCTAGGCCAGTAGTGTCGACAAGTTCAAATCCAGAATCCGATATTTGACTCGAGCTCATATCCGGCGCAATCGGCATCTCAGAGACAACCACTTTGTCTGTGGGCTCAGGTGGTGATGCTTCCCTGTCTGGCGAAGGTCTCTCATATTCAGGAATCGGCTGCGCACTCTTCAAAAATGAACCGGTAGATTTGCGGTAGAGCCAAATGGGGAGGCGTAAGATAGCTGTATCCCAAACCGTGGGCTTCGGGATCTCATCCAGGTCCAGCAGATATTCTTGGATGTTTCCGTCCTCATCCTCCTCTTCTAGGTACACATTCCCTTCAGGGTCGACGACCAGTATCTTGCCATTCTCTGCAGTCACCCGTCGTCTATCTGGTGTTGAGGAAGGTATCGGTTTGGGAATAGGACCGGAAGCAGGTTTGCTCGTCTTGTCCTTTTTATTTTGTCGATCTAGTTCTCGCCGCTGCCGTCTGTTCAAATTCGCCATCGGCTCAGATTCCTCAATTGAAGGTGCGACATCCACCGGATCACCGAGACCTGGAATGCCTCTGATACCAGTCTCATCGCCCCAAGCTTGTTTCTTTGCATATCTGATGTACCTCTCCATGAAGTCTCGGTGTCTTCTGTAGTTCATGGTCAGGACGAAGTAGTGAACGGCTCCCCCGCCAATTAAAAACAATCCCAGCAAAACAGTGCCCAGTCCAGGTCGATATCTTTGATAGTAGTATCCTGTTCCACGCCAGGAGGGCCAACCGTGGCCCTCGAAGAAATCATATCTTTCTCTCAGCGGCCCTCTCAAGATTGTTCCAATCAAAGTGAGCCGACTATAGCGTTCTTGCGCATCTTTCACAACCCGTGAAATCTCCCGCTGTGATGGTCCTTTCGAGACGTGTACCCCCGGCTTTCTCTTGCCACCTTGTTTCTTCGGGCTCGCCGTCGACCGTGAGGCTATAAAGGAGTGTTTCACTTTGTCGGGATGGAGAGTGCGGGATTTCTTCTTGAGAGCAGCACTGATCTGTTCGAACGTAGCCTGAGGTGAGACGCCGAGGACATCGTAAAAGGTGACTCCGGGCCCTTCAGTTGTTTCCAATTCATCATGCAACTTGAATAGCTCATAATCTTCCGCGGACCATGCAAGACACACGGCGACCAAGAGCAGGAGGAAAAAGATTCGTCGTATCATCTTCACCCACACTTCTCCCCCTCGACAACAATCACTGGTGCTGGTGGCACACGCTGTCCGAGGGAATCTTATAAGCTGGCGATGAAGTGAGGCAAGGAATTCGAATGTGACGGGAATGGTGCCCAAATACGTGGGCCCAATTGACGAAGGTTCCGAGGAGGATGCCGCAGCGAACGTGCAGTAGCTTACTGTATGATCGCAGCCAAGGAAGAGTTTGCAAGGTGTATATATCGGAACGTGCCCTCCTCTTTTTCTTTCTCCCTTCTCGCTCCCTACGCCTCGCTGCTGAAGTGAGAGCGATGGCAGTAACGAGACCTTGAGCCTGCGGGAGGCAGGTCGAGGAATTCCACGAGGAAGACGTCGGAGTGGAAGCAGACGAGAGTTGTTGCTGAGGCGCTCAGTACTAGGTACGCAGTCCGTAACTCCCTGGGGCTGTTCCCCCTGTCACTGCCAAAATTGGGTGTGGCCTTGGTGTGGCTTTGGTGGTTGTGCTGACTATGCCTCAAGGTAGCCTGGCACCAGCTGGTGACCTACCGAGTACCCGCACCCCCCTCCCCCCCTTGAAGCTGCCCACCAGCCTGCCCTTTTGCCCCCTCCCCCTTGCCCTTCTCCGGCCCTTCCCCCCTCGAAAATCTCTGGTTACGAACGTCGCCTACCAAATAATCCTCCTCTCGACCCTGTCGAATTCCATCCCAAATCTCCGCAAAGGGGCCACAGGCAACAAGAAAACATCTCTCTGCCTGGACAATACATCCCTTTGTTCTTATTCACGACCTCTCTCTCACTTGTTCTTCCCCCGACTCTCATTCATTACACTCATTTCCACTTCGGCACCAAACCACCACACTCCAGATAATCTTGTAAGTGCTACAACAGCAGGTCGCCAGCTCTTCTTGCTGCTGTGTAACGAGCGATTCGCGTTCCCTTACTGACAACTGCAAGGTAATCAGCCACCTTGTTCTCTGTCAAAATCACGCCCTCTCACATACCCAAGATGGCCAGGATCAGCATCCCCATCGAAGCCCTGACTTCCCGCCTCAACCTCACGGATCGCTTTAACAGCGTTCGATCGCAGTCCATCGCCTCCCGCTTTGCAAACATCCGCCCCATTTCCGAGTTTCTCGACTTGAAAAGATTGTCAAAACCGAACAACTTTGGAGAGGTGCAAGCAAGAGTCAACTACAACCTGAGCTATTTCTCCAGCAACTATGCCGTGGTCTTTGTCATGCTGAGCATCTACAGCCTGCTCACCAACCTGTGGCTTCTTTTTGACATCATCCTGGTCGTCGGTGGCATGTGGGCCATTGGCAAGTTGGGCGGAGGTGATCTCGAGCTTGGTACCTTCCGAGCTACAACCTCCCAGCTCTACACCGGCCTGGCCTGTATTGCTGTCCCCGTTGCCTTCATTTCTTCTCCCATTGCAACTTTCTTGTGGCTGATTGGGGCTACTGGTGTGACCATCCTGGGTCATGCCTCACTCATGGATAGACCAATCGAGAATGCTTTTTCCGAGGAGGCGGTCTAGGTGGTCGGCCGCGAACTCCATACGATATGCCCCCTGGGGGAAGACCACCAAGGGGACGACCGGGGCGGAACAACGACAGATTATGGGAATTACAACAACAACGCTCGTGGGACTACGATGTTCGTGTGGAGGAGCTGGACACTGACGACGATAATTCGCCGCCAGGGGTCGAGCTGGATCAGGGTTACGGTCAATCAAGATTTCGTTCAGATGAACTTCATTTTACTGGCATAGATTTGGGCGGGGGAGTTATCCGCCGACGGCGTTCGGGTGATTCATTCGACAATAATTTGACTCCTTCGGATGACGAGGACGATTATGATGCTTACTCAGGGCTTATTCGAAGACCAGACATGCAGATGGCTTACAGGGAGAAAGAAGATATGCTTGTGCAGAGAGCTCTGGAGCGGATCGCGCGCGCCCGGGCTTTGGGTAAGCCCAACGTCAAGTTGAGTCGAGCTGAGATTGATGCTTTAAAACGCTTAGAGCTCGAGCGGAGCCAGACTCCTCCACAGTCGCCTGCTGCAGCATCACAAGTCGCTCCAAGGAGCAAAAAAGAAGCACCGGTCGTCAAGCGCAAGCCTGTTGAGGTCCGCAAGGCGTCGGGCAGGAGCAATGGCAAGTCTTCCGGCGGTTCTCCCACGAAAGGGAAGGCGGCAGACGGTCGCAATCGCGGTAGAAGTTCTGCGTCCAACACTCCTGCGCGTGAGAACGCTGACATCTCTGTGGCTGCCTACGAGCTTCCCCCGCCAGATCTAGACTACGATCGGAGGTTGCCTTACCCGCAGGGATACTATGTGGCTGGTCCTCGTCAAGCCGAACCACTACGGCAAGGCTCCCGCACGAACTCCAACCAGTCGCTGCGACAGCAACAAATGCAGCCGATGCTCTCTTATCAACATCATTATCAACATCCTTATTATTCGCATCGCTATTCCTCCAACCCAGACCCTCTCTACAGCAACAGGCCCAGCTCGAATTCCTCTCGCTCTTCACGGCCTGATCCGTCCGAGCCCGACTGGGAGCCTCGCGCTCGCTCGACCTCCAGCCTGGTCAATGTTCCCTTGGATCAATTGCCTTACCAGACAAGCATAGGGAGAGCACCGCGCTTTGACCCTTCCGATCCACGCTTTGCCTCGCCGCAGCGTCGAGTTGTGTCTGGCCCGCCTGGTATTTCACAGAATCAAGCTGGTCAATATCGTCGTCTACAAGACGAACTCTTCCTTTCTGACGAACGACCAGAGGTCTACAACTACCTGGCCCCGTCTGACACGGAGAACCAAATCGATGACGATGATGAGGGTAGCGACTACGTCCCGGAGGGTGAAGTTGTCGATGTTAGAGAAAGACCCAGAGGTGAATATGCTATCCAAACAAGAAGTGCAGCCGCAGGGACATCATCGCAAAGGGCTCGGAGTAATGGAAAAACCATGGCTGGGAAAAGCAAAAAAGGGAGATAGTACACACGGGCGTATGCATTGGGAACCCCGGTATTCACAGAGTCTGCATGTGTTAACAGGTTTTTTGCTCCTGTCGAGCATCCTGGTGCCGACAGCGGATGACCTCAGATGCGAGGAAGAATCGTTGGTCTAGGTTCGTTGTCATGGCCTCTTTTTTAATGCTGAAGATATTGTCAAAAATCGTCCTTGTCCCATACATTGCTTGTGCCAGTTCCTTATTCAAGACATTACCGCGACTTTAGATGACTCCTGCAAGCCATTTATTGATGCAACATTTCTCGCTCGCTCAAAGCAGACGAAAGAGATACCAAATCCGAGTGGTGATTGCAAGTAGACTTCAATGTCACCGCTGCAATTAGATGAACATCTTAGCGATACCTGATCTCCGTGAGTCTCATTCCGTATCAGCCATCAAAGAATCACCTTACCTGCTAAGGCACCAATACTGTTGCCCAGTCCACCGCCCATGCCGGGCAAGGCGCTACCACCATCGAAGTCTCTCGCGCCTCCACGGGCGTAGAACCTTTCGGTTGTTTGGGTCATCTGTCGTCCGCCCATCATCCTCTGCAATCCGACGGGGAGTCGAATGCCCAATGTTCCGAGTAGTTTGCTCAGAGCCCCTCCTGTGATCAACGGCAGAATCACCAGGACAAATGTTCGGACCGGATGGCGACGCATCCAGCGGTATATTTCTCTCAAGAAGCGCCGTATTCGATTGACGAAGCCGGATCGGGGTCTTGCTCGGGAGGAGTGGCCATGGCCGTACCCCCGTGACGAGGAGCCGCCACCTAGGCCGGAGAAGAAGGAGGATGCACTGCGCGAGTAGGACGGGCGGGAGGCGTAGTATGAGCGGCGGGAGGGAGATGGAGAGTTGCTGCGATGGGAGCGGATGCCCTGATTCCAAAAACCCATGTTTAAGTTCTGCTCGCGTTCAGGGAAGGATCTAAGGGCCCAATCGACGTGACCAAATGAGGGGTCCTCCTATTCGGAAGATGTGCGTTTGATTGTTCGTTCGTCGCAGCGGAAACCTCGGTAGCGTCTCGCCTTTGAAGTGGTAATAGTTATTCAGCTGGTCCGTAGCGGGTCTGCAAACCCGTCTTTCTCGTTACTGGGCGTTGCCCAAGGGAATGCAGTGACGAAAGTGGCGAAAGATGCGCAATCAGCAAATCTCTTTACAAATGCAAGCGGTGACAGCTCTTGGGCAAGGAGCACAGGAGAAATGAGGACTCCGTACGAGGTACAGGGTAGTCAAGCAGACCGCTCGACGCACAATTGGAGTGGCTGGAAGATGGACTGGGGGCAGCTGGGGCTCGGTGGGGCACCAGGCTGCACAACTCACTCTTCGTGCCCTTGGTGCCTTTTCGGTTCAAGGAAGGCTGGCCAAGGCTGGCTCCCTGGTACGGCGAGTCTGGTTGGTCAGGCGTGTGGCGAGTAACTATCCTTTATTGGGCTTAGACTTATTTGATGAGAATGCTTGGAAGAAGGCTCAAAGCACGGAAAGTTTGTCACCTTTGCACAGATCTTGCACCTTTTGGATGGACTTTTCTATGTTTGAAACGGTTCCCTCTGCCACTGACGTTGTGGGAGCACAGTCCCGGCGTTCTAATGAGTCCTTCATTCAGCTTTGGATTGCTCACTTTCTAGCAGAAACCTGGGACATCTTCATTGGTCGTGTGAATATGCCAAGCCGCTTGTAATTATGGCTATAAATGCAGCCTTCCCGGTCGCATGGAGTTAGCTAGTTCCAATACACTTTTACGTCTCATTTTACAGCCGGTTGGGCGCCTTGGAGAATCAACTCGGGCGAATCCCAGCAGTGGCTCGTCAACTTTACCATCTCATGGTCTCTTCTCGGACGAATGGGCCCTTTGAGTCCGACGCGAAGCTCAGATCGCGGTCGAGTGTTTTTTGCATAAGGCTCCCCAATCGGGAGTGAAGAACAATCTGATTGCCATGCAAATGCATCGTGGCTCCTCTCCCATAAAGGTTGTCGGATTTAGTTCTCATGTGAAGATTTTTACTCAGATTCCTAATCCAGCAAATGGATAATGGCCATTGACACAGTATTTCCTCCCACAGCTTCGAGAAAAGTAGGCCTTCACGATCCAGATTGTCTACGTCAAGCTCGTCCAAGCATCACCGCCTGCCCAATGCTTGGAATAGTGTCCGCGCGGTTGCTGTTGATAGCTGCCAATATGCCTTCCTTCTCAACGCAGACTTCGCCATTCTTATACAAAACAAAAGCCGTGTCGTCTTGCTCAATCAGCAATTCGAGATCCGTGGGATGGGTCTGTGTTTTGAAAGCGTGGTCATGGCGACGTTGCTAAATGCGAGCTCACATGGACACTATCTTCATGTGCTCTCCTTCTATAAGATCTATGATACTGGTTGATACTCGGGCGAAGTTTACAGTTCCTTTCAACCTTTAGCAGCAAATTCGTCAATGTCCAAAATGGTAGGCGCTTCCTAGAAGACTTGCACAAGGCCGCCGCCTTATTCTCCTCTCCAGCAATCCCACAATGCTGCGGGGAAACATTGTCAGCCAAACGCTTCCAACCATCATAAAACAGCGACCGCATGATCGACCTTTGGCACTCACAATAGAATCTTCCCAAAAGTATCGACTCTCTTGACTTTCAGTTGAGGAACCCTACCATCCGGACGGCGTGCCATCGAGATCGAGATGTTGCGCCAACTGCACTGCTTGAGCAGCCTGCGGAAGCGCATTTACGGCGTGAATGAGCCCGATCCGGTGAGTGAGCATTCGACGGAGATCCACGTCAATCATTGTCTGTACTACCTGAGGCAGGTCCTTATGTGCGTTGGTGACTTGACTCTGGTCACAATGTGTGAAAAAGTCGGAGTGCATCGGAATTGATTGGCCAAATTTCACAACACCACTTATGCGCAGGGTTTCTACAACTTCTTCGAGTGGGCAAACAGTACAATACTCCTGGAAAGGGAATGGAGTGAATAAATGGAGGGTCATTATCAGCTGAGGCTCCAGAGGATGAGCAGAAGATGCGAATATGCCTCAATACCCACCAACCACAACGTACCCAGCAGGTCGGGTTTCAAGAGAGGCGCTCGTTGGTTCCATCTCAGCGATATTCTCGGTCATGCGGTCGTCAAGCCTTCCTAAAATTGGGGCAATCGATACTATTACATTTTCGGGCTCCTTTGGTTTCATTACGCGTCCTCCCGGGTTAGAATGTGTACTGATACTGTTGGAGGCATTTGAAGAGTCAATGGACTGGTAGTGCCTGAAGTTGGACATCGTGCCAGGTTTCCCATAGCAACCTACCACGTCTCCCTCGACGGGGCGTGGGATGATCTTGACAGAAGCCTTTGCAGTGCAGGTTCCACCGGTCCACAAGGCTGGCTTGGCAGGAGTAATAATACAAACCTTACCGAAAATGGAAACCGGTCCCCCCTACCTGCATTAGTGTCGAGAGCCTCCGCCATACCTTTACCAAGTCAATCTCCTGCTTGCATGGGCTTGATATTTCCGTTAAATGGGAGCCTAGATTGCCTAGCATGCTAATTGTTGTGAGTATGGAGCTTGCAAAGTAGGAGCGAAGCCCAGTAGACATTCCGCTGGGCTTCAAACGCCCGCCAAGTAATTCGCTAATATACGGTTAGCTCTCGTTCCGCCGTCCTAGGATGCCTCGTTTCTCAGTTTGGTCACTGTTACGTATTCAGCAGCGCAATATACTCGAGCACTGCCACTACGATGAGAATGAGAGAGACAGCATCAGCCATCACAGATGAAAACTAGAACGCCTTTACGAATACGTCACCGCTTTTATGACCTTTTAATGACTGCTGATATCTATATAACCTTCACACTCACCCTCGGTTCTAGAGGAGGATCTGAATTATACAAACGCCCACAAGTTCTCCATTCTACATTCAAAACACATTTTGCTCTTGCCATTTCACACATCTACTCTGTGTGTTTCAGCTCGACCTGTTGATTGCACTACCATCTTGCATTAACTTTTTGCTGTCGGATATCACAATGACTGCCATTTCCTGCCCCAATGGCGAGCCGAGCCAATACGAATATCTTCCTTCGATAGCGGCTTCCGTTATCTTCATCATTGCCTTCGGTATTTTGACTGTTGGTCATGTCTTCCTGATGATCAGAGGAAAGCAATGGTTCATGACCGCCTTCATTGTTGGAGGACTCTGTAAGTTCGATCTTTCCTGGATCAGATGTAATGGGTCCACAGGCTAACCACCTCCCTTACCTGAATAGTCGAAGTCTCTGGCTTCGGTGTACGAATACTGGGTCATAACAGCCCCTGCAACGATAATTCAGAGATCGCCCAAAAAATCTTGATTCTCGTGGCTCCCTCCATCTTTGCTGCCACAATCTACATGATCCTTGGACGCACCGTTCGAGCTATCCACGCCGACAAACTCTCCCCAATCCGGCCTTCTCGGTTAACTATAATCTTCGTCTCCGGCGACGTTGCCTGCTTTTGTGTCCAGGTGGCCGGTGCTGCCATTATGTCTGGGGGAAGTTCTAAGAAAAGCAATATCAACTTGGGCAGGTACATCATCCTTGTGGGTCTCGCCCTGCAGATCATCCTCTTCGGCTTGTTCGTCTTTGTCGCCTTTATCTTCCACAATCGCATTCACAAACGACCCACTGAGGCATCGTTCCGCCCCCAAATCCGCTGGGAGATAATGCTTTTCGCCCTCTATGGTGTCAGTAGTCTTATCATGGTGCGGAACATATTTCGCGTGATTGAGACCGCCGGAGGCCGTAATGGGTACCTGCTTTCTCACGAATGGCCCCTGTATGTCTTCGACTCCATCCTCATGGCCGCAGTGATGGCCCTTCTGTTGTACTACTTCCCTACCTTGATCAGACCAAGAAAATCCTACACCACGGACAGCATGGAGGCTCAACCTATCCAAGCCGGCCACCAACACGAAGGATATAGGAAAGTTTCTGCTCCGCCTTCGTCTCCCTCCAACATTCACCGAGAGATTCAGCGATAGGGGACAGGACGTCAGACGAAATCTCAAGAGCAAGATACTATGCTCAGGCGAGAAAACACGCCATTGCGCAAGTTGTGACAACGAAACACTGGAGGAAAACGCAGGAGTACAGGTTGGATTGCCCTTCTAAAGCTTTTCTTTGTATATTGATTTGCGACTCGCGAGAATACAAGATGGGTGGGGAAATGCATATGTACTGCGTGCTATTCAAAGTATGGCCAGATGTATGACAGAGCCCTTTGGACGGGGTTTCAGCTCCAGGTTCAATGGCGGAGGACCATGTATAGGTACTAGAATTTGTTGTAATTTTACTCTCCCTAGATAGCAATCTCCATACTTTAGTCTTTCTTGGATAGCGTAAGTTATAAGCAAAGCCCATTACTCGAGGAGTACAAGTGTTAGGAGTTGTTTCCAACAGGCAATTGTCACGGGACTCGAGACTTCGGTACGTGGAGAGAAGGACAGAGGGACGCCACGGTACAGAACGCGGTTATGAGACGAAGGCTTGCCAAAGGTGGGTATGGCAATGTTGGACGAAATCATCTTCGAAGCTATGTCAATTGGGAGGTATGCGTGACCATATGAACATACTTGATTCCGAATGTAGTAGGAACAACTGCTCTGGCACGTTGTTGCAATGGTCCAGAGCACTGAAGCACCAAGGCACAGATCTAGGTAGTATACAGCATTCCTACCGCGCCGTCTAGTCCTAGACATTTCCCAGTGCCACCATAAGCTTAACCAACGAACTTGGGTGGGCTAAAGCAAGAGACGTCATCGCCGTTGATCTGCTCTACTAACCCTATTTCCTCGTGTGCTTCCAAGGCCTCGATCCAGACCAAGGCCCTTGCAATGTCGACTGCGGCGCGGGCATCGACAAGACCTTGGCTCACGATATGCCCTTGAATGTGGGATATCAAAGGCAGTCTCGCATCGCTGGGGCGTAAAAGAGCCGAAGTAACAAGCGCCCAGAGCCTGAGGTCTTGCAACCTCGAATCTGTCTCACGCAAATTCCGAGCTGCCAGTTCAGCAAACTTTGCTTGAAGCGGCACCATGTCGGAGGAATTCAGGCAGAAGCCCTTCTTTAAGCCAGAGAGGGCTATAAGGCATGATAGGCGAACCATCTCTCCTACAACCGAGGCGTCTGACTCCTTCGTAGGGTCGTCAGACAATCTTGGGATAGAGAGTAGACGGTGAGTGACAGGACCTATGAGGTGGATCGCCCAGACTTCATTTTTCCAAAACTGTGTTGAATCGCTGTCGCGATTGACAGTTTCAGCAACCCAGGACATCATCCGCAAGACGCAGAGAACCGGGGATAATTGGGGATATGCTGAACCCAAGCCAACGAGAAGTCGTTCCAGCGCAGGAGGTACCTCCTCAACCTCAGGCATGCATATTTCTCGCGGAATTGGAAACCATGGCGGTGAATTGAGGACTGTCCTGCCGGCGATATCTAACCTATAATATGTAACACAGTTAGAAGAGAACAAACACATTCCCAACGGCGACAAGGATCGTACCAAAAAGCTATTAAAGCAATGCTATTTTCCAGGCCTTCAAATCCGCCGCGAAGGTTTGATATACGATGTAAACCGTTAAGGTGGACGGCCCAGCGATCCCAATTTCCGACAGTCAACTAGCAGTCCCATTAGCAGCAGTAGAGGGGGGGTATGAAATCAATAGAGCGCACAGTTAGGAATGGACATACATACATCATGGCAGATGCACCCAAGAATTGAAGCGATAACACCAGCACTGACAGACTCATGCGGGTCGCGCAGACGCTTCGACAGCTGCCCAAGTCCTTCAAAGTAGTATCTTGTGGATTCCGGGTTATCGTTGTACTCGACGCTGTCTGGTTTTCCGTGTGCCTGATCCCAGAAGAGCGACGAGCTCGCCATAGAGAGCTTAAGCGCCGTCGGGTCCGAGAGGCCCATTCGTATCCAGATGGTAAGGTAGGCCCGGTGCTTGTAATCTGCCACTGATCTCACTAGACACACGGACAAATAGTCGTCAGCACTTGAGGGTGAATTCAATACTACTGGAGGAGGAATAAGCTTACCGAAATGCAAAATCTGAAGCGTCCTCGCATCTAGATCCAATCCCAAGATGCCGCAAGGATTCGGAGACCAGCAGGGTTGGAGATGATGGACATCCTTTCCTGACGCATAGGTGATTTCTACCATCGATTTCCGGTCTCCTTTCAGCTTTTTACCGGGCGGACGCGTCCGGACTTGCAGGGGAATGACTGTGGCACGCGGTCGCTTCCTCCGCGATCGGCCAATGTCTTCCATGACATGACGCCGGATATTCGTTTGCACATTGCGGTTTTGTACATCGCTAGGGTGAGACAAGTTGACAAAGGCGAGCTGCGCCATTTGTGGCTCCTCGTGACCTTTTAATAAACATGTAAAGAAAACTGGGGTACAGAGGACTTGTAAGCAAATAGACTTATATACTTATACTTTGTTATAGAAATTGGCCGTGTTGGGAAGCAGACTTGGCCACCAGGCAGAAACATTTAACAAAGCCCATCTGGGAGCCATCCCGATCTCTACAACTGCCTCACGCCATAAGGCGTCCAGGCGCGAGCTACTAAGTAGTTGTTGGCGCAGGGCTGGCGTGGCGCCTTGGCCTGCGCCAGCCTCTCCATAAGCCCCTTTTCCTCTTCCTGAGCACCCCTTCGACGGCTTCATCTTCTAAAGCCTTACAGTATGCTTCACGCAAAGCCTTATTACTCGGTACAATGGAGCCATTCTGGTTCCGAAGGTCCCACATTGCACCATCTCATCCTCCCAGCTCGATGAGCCCGTTCAACTTCAATTATAAGTCGCATCCCAACACCTTGTTTCCGCCCATAGGGTCACTCTTATGATGCTGGACTTTGGCGGGATTTCTGACGCTAATCAACTGTATTGAACTAAACCGACCCACCTTGGTCCATTAGAGGGGAAGTCTGACCGTAATACGTATTGAGGAAACATGGTAGGAGGGCGTTCTAGTTCCGAAGAAATTGGTGATGGGTATGTGAACTTCTGCCAGGCACCTATGCACAAGAAACTTATAGGAAAGCATTAATAAGAACAGGAATTCGAAGCAGCTATTAACTCCTAACGTGTAAAGCATAGGCCGTTTCGGGTCATTCATCAAGGGCAATGCATCCCCCCCTCATTTTGCCACACAACTGGATTCTCAATTCTCGTTGAAGCCCACATCTCCTGCCTGTCACCTCGGCTTCAAAAGTAGCTCTAGTTCTCCATCGACCAGAGTTTTCTGAGAATATCTCCATTCCACTTAGGACTGCCGGGCGAACCCTTAATATTGAATTTTTGCGCAAGCACCTCACGCGCACCAAGGCTGGAGTCTTGTCCTCGCTCGTTTAGAAAGTCAACCAGTGACACCTTTGAATTGAAGCCATCTGAACTGCGATGGGTGAATCCTCCTGGTGCACTGGATGCACCTGGTGAATATCCAGCTTGTATGCCTTGCTCCAAAAAGTGAAGACCTATTCGAAAGAGGGGGCCAACCCAATCCGAGGAATTCAAGTTTCCGTTATTCTGTTGACTTTGACCCCGCGATTGCTGAGGCATGTGAGTGTGTTGGTGTTGATTTTCAGACGGTTGCTGGTTATTGGGTTGAGCCTGACTTTGAGAGGGTTTTTGACTCCAGTCTGCTGAAGAGGTATTTCGAGCAGACTGCCTCTCTGAGTTCTCCCCTGGGACATCTCTCCCGGCTGAAGGGGGCGACCTTGCTTGGCGGAGGACGTTGGCTGCCGTGGTGTTTTCGTAAGATGAATTCTCGCCGAGCTCTCTGAATAAACGTGGTTGCACACTCGGGAGCTCATGGCAAACTCGAGCAACGACTGATCTGGCTTGGGTGGCTAGTTCGGACTGCTGATGCTCCCAAGAAAGAAACTGTCCCCTCGCCACTCCATTCTCGTATACCTTGCCATGCTCATAAGTTTTGGCGCCGTGGTCAAGAAATGGGCTCCAAAGCTGTTTTCGCTGTTGGAGACGCTTTTCGAGCTTCTCCGTGTCCTGCCGAGTTCGACAATCCCAGAATGTGGTAATGATGGTGAGGTAAGGAAAGAACTCCTCCCCACAGAAAGCAGCAAGCCAGCTGCGAAGAGTTCTTTCGAAGGCTTCATCACGGGGGCGACTGTTGTCAACAACATACCATACACCAACAATGGTGGCAATCCCGCGTATCTCCTCTATCATCTCCATAATCTTACTGAACGTGTCCCATGCCGTGTTGTCATCGTCAAACCCAGGTGTGTCGATTAGGTAGTAGTCTTCCTGGTTTATGCATGTCACAGCTATTTCGCAAGCTGTAGTGACTAACAATGTGTCTGTTAGCTTCTGGTCATGACAAGCCACTGCGAAACAATACCTGAGTTCACTGAGTCACCAGACAGCCCTGTCCTGCCGGTGACAGCCTCCACTAGTGACGATTTTCCCGCACCAGTTTTACCAAAAACGATAATCACACGGGCCTTGACAGCTCTGCTAAGGCCGTACAGTTAGTTCTCATCATGTGAATGTTGGGGACAACGAACCGACATCTCATAGACGCTAGGCATCTCTTGGTTTCTGCCGAAAGCATCTCGGTCGGCTGGTCCATATTGAAGTTTCAACTCCCTTCAGGGCGCTGAGGAAGGAAAGCAAAAGAACTGCTGGAGGACTGGAGGGGCGAGGTGCCTTAAATAGGTTGGTAGGCTTGATATTGCGCAAAGAGATTGACACAATCAACATCATGGCTCCATACACTTCAACAGCCTCGAGCCGGATTTAGTCCTGTATTGATCGGCGTTGGTTAAGCCATGCTTCAGCTCTAATCTCTGTCTTGGACATCAACGGCCAATCATAAAATGTGTTCGAGAAAGAGGCCCCGGTTTCGCACTAGCACAATTTCCTTGCATTGGTGCGAGAACACTAGGTTGCAGGTTGCCTTTCAGCCGTTGCTTCCTTCCAACCAGAAGATGGAACTGGGCAAACACGAAGAATTGTTGCGTATGTGGGGAGTTTCCGCTGCTGTGCTTTCGATGAGGCAGCCGGGGTTGGGCGCATGCATTCCTGGTGAAGAACTCCCGGCCTCCTCAGGGTGCCGCACCATGCCTCTCTCATCATTCCCCAATGCGATCGTAAACAGTTCTTGGCCTGTCCATGGATGATAAGGATAATATGGCTGCGACGCGAAATCTCATTTGACGGGCAAAAAGAGGTCGCGAGCGTTTCCCACGTCAAGAAAAAGGCACTTCCACTTCGACGCCAACAAGAGATCGTTGAACGCTGCATTTCCTAAGAATCTGACGTGTCACGCTTTGCGGGCTTTGGGCCCTTCACGATTAATCATTAGTGTCTTGCCCACCTGTTGCTGTGCATCCCGTCTCAATGGCTTACCAGTTGCACTAACTTCTTTCGTTTTCTACTCAACCGGTGAGATCAGCCCCTCTCCAATTCGACCAGCCCGATGATTTTGTCCCTCACCCTAGGTAAGGATGATGTGTAACAATTGGGTTGGGCGAAGGGTTGGTCGACGCACATGTCACCACAGAAGCTGTGAAATATGTAAGTTGTCGTCGTCAAGCCTTGTCTTCACTGTCAATTTCGACCAGATCAAACGTCGTGAGAGTCAGCGGAAATACGTCTTCTTTGTTCAATCGCTTGAAGGTATGAACTTAGCATCTTTCGACGGTTTGAAGCAAAATGAGCTCCTGGCGCTTGTAGAGAAATACATCATAGACGGAGCAAAGTGGCCTGACATAGCCGTGGAACTGCGGAGACAGTATCACAGCATAGTAACGTTAGTCGACATTGAATCTGAGACCTTGACAGTGGCTATACTGACAACATATTTAGCAAGAAACAGTGGTCTAGCAAACTAACTGCGCATGGGTTCTTCAAAAATGTTGACGAAAGTGAGATCATCGACGTACTCGGAGAGCTCGAGAGGCTCCAATTATCGCTTCTGTCACTGGGAAACTATACGCTCTTAGTGGTGGCAAACCATGTCCTTCTCAACCCCCAAACGATCGAAAGATATCGCCAGAAGAACAGCAACTCACTTCACGAGACGATCAGCCAAGGTCGTCCTCCCCAACCTCGCAGGCATCCCATGGTTGTTCCGCTGCCATTTGAGTTCCGAATGTTGAATGACCCTGACTCTTTCAAATGTTTCCGGAGGATGTTGTGGCTTGTGAGTGTCCATTTCACCAGCTGCTTTGACACTCGCAAGTGGACAAATGATGAAAATGGGTTGTACAACCGCCATGATGTCTTTCGATCTGATTTGACACAACTTAGCCGACTTCACAATATATTGTTTGACGCAATTAACCAACACAACAAAAAAGAAAAAGACTCAAAGCGAGAATGGACTCTAATCCGTGACGCATTCTGGTCCCTGGACCAAATTGTGAAGACCAACCACCATCGTCAACTGCCGGATATTCTGGGGATTATCCATATGCTGAAGAAGGGTTGGCAGCCCAGGGAACATGTCTCTCTCCACGACACCATCCATTTCAAGTTGTGTCAGCAGCTTAATAGCTTAGCTGAGGTTTACTTGGAAGGAAATGATCCACGAAGGAAGCTAATCGCACTTCTGAAGCGGATGCTTGAGGAGCAAGAGTGGAACGAGAAGTTGGGTTATGTTTTGCATGCATTTGATACATACTGTCGTCGTTTGTGGATGGACAGGCTTGGCCGCAACGACATCAAAGCCTACTATTCATACAACCAAGCCAGCTTTCCTCGCTCAGAGTCGGAGCCCGGCGAATTCTACGAAAAGTTCCAGGGGAAGCAGTTGTCTGAGATCCTGAGGCTCTTGACTGAGGTCGATGGCGAACTTGGGCGCTATTCCCATCCAACATTCTGTCTTTGGCACACAGCATTGAGCTATCTCTTTCAAGAGAAGAGATATTCAGACGCCGAAGTAGTTTGCCAAGAGCTTTCTAAGCGCATATTACACCCCGAAGGTGATCAGACCTTTGACGATGGACAACTGAACTTTGACTCTGCAAAGACAATGTACTCCCTTGGCTCTTCACAGAGAGCGCAGGCGAAAAGGCTCATATCCATCGGTCGCAAAGAGGACGGCGATTCCAAGCTCTCGCAAGCGTTGGCAAACCTTCAAATAGCTCTGGCCTTGCGCCGCCGCCTTGTTCCGATAGGGAAATGGGATCCATTGTCCCAGGGAATGCTGGAGGCACTAGTAGCTGCTGGAACAGCTCTCGGTTTGGATCAAAATGTCGGTGTATGGGATGATCAACTGCGTATGATGGAAACTCCTTCGGAGGGCAGACTCAGATGAGACAGTGGCTCAGGTTGGAGAGGAATCTCGTACACACGTTTGGGTGTGTTTCGACAAAGCATTTCGTTTCACAGGACAGGTTTCAACTTTGAACTCATACGCAAAGTTGCGTCCTCCGTGCTCGGTGCCTTCCGCTTAATCGGGAACGGTCCCACCTTTGATCGAGGATAGCTTAGAGGTCTGTGATAGCCAGTATCCGTTACCGTGGTGCACAACTTTCAGCCAGGCTTCCACCTGTCCACGACAATCGCGGGAACCAGCTCAAAAGTTCCTCATCAGAGTCCAATAGCTCGTCACCGCTTTCTGATGGTTCGTCGGTGCTCCATTATCAGTCTGACGGACTCCGATCACATACGGAGTTAACTATAATGCGTTATGTTTTCGACTTTGGGGCTTCAGGAGCGCAATACAAGACTAGAGGACGTACCGATATGTAGGCATTTATCAAGGAAGTAGCCCGCCCCAATATTTCAAAAGGCCCTGGGTTCTATCCTCTATCCTCGATCCCCTTCTCCTTCTGTCGCACGATCTCCTCCATTTCCCCCAGTCGGGCTAGAGTGGCTTGTTGCTCATTGATCGCGGGCTCTTTTTGGGGGGTTGGGGGAGGGTTGGGCAATGATGACCTCTTGCTCCTTGATCACAGAGGCCTTTTCCACGACTTTGGCTTTCTTGTCTGCTATGGATCTTCTTGCTTCGGCGACTGTGAGGACAAATTTTCCAACACTCTTCTCATCGAAGATGTCAAAGTAACCGCCCTCCACCTTCATACGTAGTCTGTAGTCACTGTCACTGTTACCCTGTGTGCGAATTCGTCAGCGTTGTGCCCGAGCAGAACGAGGCTACTTCTCGCTTTTCTTTCCGAATCGACCGCCATACCTTGAGACCAGAGTGTTATATCCGAAGAGTACGATATGTGGGTAAGTGGAGGGACCACGATGAAAATCAGGAGGAATCATCGTGGTGCCGTGGCGATTGCGTTGAATTTATTGCCTTGCTTCCCAGACGAAAGAAGAATCCGGTTATGGCGAGAGACTTAGTTGCCGGGAAGGACACCTCAGGCCATAGCCCCCTATCCAACCATATTGTTCCAATTCTATCGCCAACTCAATCGAGCTAGCCCAACACCAAAAAGGTGAGTCGAGCAGTCTGCCCCAGTAGCTTCAAAGTGGATGCGAGATAGGAATGTGAAATTGCGCTATAGCAGAGACTGTATACCAGGAACACCATGCGTTTTTACCGATTCAAAACCTCATTTGTACCCAATCAACCGCCTTTGGCACCCATTTCTTAACTGATTGCCCCACTGAACAATTTCGCCGCAAGCTCACTCAGAATGCGGGCCTTCTGACCCTGATCCAGCGACTGGAACACCTCGTAGACAGATTTACCTTGTTTGTCCCGTATGGCGCCCATCTTGCTGCCAGCAGCCGCGCCCGTCACCATTCCCACCGAGTTGCCCACGATGAAACCGAGAACACCCCCCGAAATGCCGCCTGCGATCGTCCAGAATCGCTTGGTAGGTGCATGGGTGTCATCTGCCAGGTTGTCCTCCTGCATCATCTCCTCGAAGGCGCTCCTGAATTGGTCGTTTGCGAACCTGTCTTCTTGCGTGTCTCCTGCACGGCGGCCAAAGCCGAACATGTTGAACCAAGACTGGGCTCCAGCCTGGGGAGAGGGTCTCGGTATTTCCTCGTCTGCAGACTCTTCAAAGCTCGTGGTCCCGTGAAAGCGCCTGGCTTCATCGTATTCTCTCCGCCTCGTGGGCTCGGACAGGGTGTAGTAGGCGTCATTGATCTTTTGAAACATTTTCGTCCGCTTGGGGCGCTCTTCCGAGTCGGCAGCGACGCGGTCTGGGTGCCATCTTCCAGTCCCGTTAGTCTAGGCAGAGAATGTTGGGTCCAACGACAAAGGGCTGCCGAAGGTCCAAATTCCCAGTGAGGAACTTACTTCAGCGCCGCCTTCTTGTAAGCTCTCTTGATCGCCTCCTGATCGCTGTCAGGGGCAACTTCTAGGACGGCATCTCCGTTTGGTCAGCCTCACTCTCTTTGGCTGGGCGGATGGCGCTTACAGTAATCAGGCAGCTCAGACATGTTGGAACCACTCACGATCCCAGCGTTGAGGCTGCGTCGATTGAATCTGGGGTCGCGCCTGCTAGGGAGCAAGAAGAATCAAAAGTCGGAGGAGACTACAGATCAAGGCATGAGCGGTTCATGTAATAATAACAATAACGGTGCTCATCAGTTCAAACGAAGGGGTGGCAGAAGAAGAAAGGCATGTGGATGGATTGCCTGCGCTTGGTCGCAGCCTGTTGAAACCATGACGTCGACAAGCTGCCTCGGTGTGAAGCCTCTGTGGCGCCCCGCATGCAGGAGGATCACTCAGTGAGGATGAAAGTGGGCTTGGGGTGGGCTTGGTGGCAGTGTCTGACATCGAGGAATCGATTCCGCCGTCCAAATTTACTGTAATTGTGCTTCACTAGCTAATGGTGTCCACACTCTATCTACACGTCAACATTCTCGGACTACTACAATGTTCTCGACCAAAGAGTTACTACAAAATTCAACCCGGCCACAGACGCAAAAAAGCAGCGCCAACTCCACTACTAGTGCAAAGAGTGGCGAGATGATCTCGTTTGAACGGTAATAGTTTCCAGCGTTGAGATAACACGAAGGAAAAAGACGATGCCAACATTGATATACTCTTTTCTTTATTCAAGAAGTATAGTCTAGGTTCATCTCATTGTTATCATCGCTGTCATTCCTAGCTCATCACCTGGCGAAAGCATTGTCTTACTGCGCGCTTCGATCATGTATCATGAGCAAGTCGACAGCGACGAAAGTGACCAAAGATGGCTGTGCTTGAGCCAACCAGCAGCCAGGCAAATAAGATCGGAAGAGCGCGATGGAGCACGGGAACTGCCCCACTGGACCAAATATCCGTCAGGAGAGAATACGCCTCGTTATCCGGGAGTGCGTACCCCCAGTGATAAAACGCCGGATTGAGTTGGAGTGGGCTGACGGAGCTCGCTAAGTTGAGGACGATCCAGGTCAGAATGAAGAACGGCATGACAGGTACCGGCCAGAACGCGGCCGCCGTGTCGACAACGACAAAGTGCACCGTGTGAAGCAGCCAAAAGGTCACCCACGTCAGGCCAAACTGCTTCCCGTCCACTGACCATGTCTCTCGGAATGCCCAGATGTATCCGGTCATGCCGAGTGCGGACAGTAGGGTGTAGCCAAAGGCAAATGCCACTCGGATGATTCCCGTAGTCGTCGCAGGCACCTTTTTGTATATGCCCAGCTCGTCCGAGAGCCCATTCAGGATCAACACGAAAAAGAACTGTTCCAGCACTGGCATCACCATGGTCGCCGTATTGTACAGAAGACGAGTTGGATTTGTGGTTTCCATGATATTCACGCCAGAGATGCCGATTGGATGAAATAGAACTTGGACGGCCGCACTGCTGTTTCGGTTCAGGTTCTGTAGCGCGGGTTGGCCCTGTCTGTGATGATACTCCTGTTCGGCGGCCTGTGCCAACAGCTCGAAACTGGACATCAACGCCTCGTCGGAGAATGGGGGATATCTGACCTCATTCCATATGTATGTCAACGCGTCAGAAGCCTGGTAGGTCCGCGCCGCCTCGCCACTCGCAAGGGCGCGAGCAAGTCTCGCCGAGGCATTTGGGTTGACCACAAATGCCGCCCAGTACAATCCAGCTCTCACGGCGTCTAGCGCCTCGGCGACAGATTGCAGTTCGCTCCCAATCGGCTTGTCGAATGAAGGGAAGTTGGAGCCTCGAAGGCTCTCATAAGCACTGTTCACAGATTCGCCTATCACTCCGCCGTCGAGATCCAACCACAAGACATTCAACGATGAGACGCGATCACTTGAGCCCCACAGAGAACCATAGAGGTAGGACAAGTTTCCCAGGAACAGCAGCTGAAGCAGGACAAAAACGGCAGCAATTTTGATGAAGAACGGCTTCCGAGTGTGCTGCCAGAAGTCCTGCTCCTTCCTGTCGCCTAGCTCGGCCTGCAGGGAGTGGTAGGATGTCTTTTCCGGAGCATCTGATCGGCGACTGTTCGTACGCAGCAGGTGGAAAGGGGCTCGGACAAGGGCGGGCTCGATCTGGGAGGATGTCTTTGAGGAGGTGACTGTCGAGCCGAGACTGTCGGTTCGGAGCAAGAAAGGGGCTCTGTCTGGCAGGGCCTCGGATTGGTACGACAGCTTTGACAGAGCAGTCGAACCGATGCTCCCGTCATCAGGAAGTAAAGGGGCTCGAAACGGCCGCATCTCATACTGGATACTAGGCATTCGTGAACTTGTGAGACCCGACGGGGCTGCTACAGCAAAAGGACGACCAAACTCCCCGTTCGGACACAACGAAAAGGTTCTTCCTATATATGCCACCGACCGACAAGTATCCATGTGGATATGTCTTTCTTTAGAACTCGGCACAACGGCGTCTGATTGGATCTGAAATCCGTGCCTGCATGAGCAATACTAATAACAAAATGGCCGCGGGGATTGCCCGAAATGGACGGAGAGGATTTCTTTGCAACAAATTGCGTCGGCAGGTAGGAAGGCAGGGACAGACACAGGCTTTGGAAATAGAAGTGGACAGGTTCCTGGAGATCCAATCCAGTCAAGGCGTCCGGTGTTGCAGGGGGCATGTTGCAGCGTGCTCTGGAGTTAGCAACGTCCACATCCTTCGAGTTGTTGGCTGAGTTGGCCTGGGCAGTCGAGTCATAGAATACAGGTGCCTTTCGTACTTCCCTACTCATCTCGTTGGCCAGCGAGACGGTGCATCTGGACATGAAAGGGGTGTTTCCGACGCTGCGAGAAGCAAGAAGCATCGTTGTATGGACTTCCGTGCCACCCACCGATACGAGGGTTGCCCAAGGCAAAACAACGGATTGAAATAATTCTGCCAGGAACGAGGGTCCGGAGAGCGGTGTGAGGCATATCCCGCCCCCCACCCAAAAAATGATGAGCGGCACAAGGACTCTTTCCATTTGAGGAGCACGGTGATGGAGATTTAATGGGGGGGGGGGGGAGGGGGGGGGATATGAGCGTCCCACTGCGTCGGCCAGAGGAGTATTCGTGGAACTTCCCCCAGCTCTTCGTCTTGACAGCTAGGAAGTCACATTGTACAGCAGACATAAAAATTACGTATCTAAATCCAGCTCCAGGATTTTGTCATTCCTCATGTTCAAGCCGTAAATCGGCGGGCGAACACCAGCCTCGTCTAATCCCTGATGCGCAAAGTTTCCGCCAACGCCGGACAATTGCTCCGTCACGCGTCATATGAGGGCTTGGAATCCCTCACTCCCAAGTCTATTATCGACCATTACTTTTCGTGGTGCTCACGTATTCGTCTCCCCGACACTCCTGAAATAATGTACACGAAGAACAGGTGAAAAGGGAGCAAAGAATGTCAGAATCTAAACCGTCCAATACCCCATCGTTTCTGTCGTCCAAGGTCCTTGTGTTCTACGGGATATTTTGAGAGAGCGGACTGGATGTGGAAACCTTGGCCACCGGTCATCGTGGTTCCACGATACCCTTGGGTGGCAGGGTCATAAGGGGTATCGTCGTTCTGATACGTGGTTGCATTTTGATCTGATGTGATTGGCGCCGGTCCTTGGTCAAGAGGAGGGAGACCTCCGTTCCTGCCAGCTTCTTTCTCGAGCTGTGCCTCCCGTTCTCTCCAACCTTGAGGAACGTGGCGCTTCGACCGAACCGAAGGCCAGAGGTCGAGCAGGAACGAGAGAACGTAGAAGGTGAAGATGAGGGCGATGATCCATTCAAACACAGCGGCTACATTTTGATGATCGTTCCAGGCAGTCGAGGCGTAGACGATGGCAAGGATGACCTCGAGAATGATAAATGCAAGCTTGATCCAAAAGGAAATGCGCAGGACACGATGCTGACGGTAGTGGATGCCGAGTCGCTGATATTCGGCACACAGAAAGATGGCCGAGATGATATATCCAGCAATGAAGAGGAGCAAGCATCCGTCATGGACTCTGTCGTGATGGTAGGTGTCGAAGATTGAAAGGAGGATCAGACCGAGGGTGCCTGCAATGGCGAAGAAGATGGCGCAACTCGACAGGGCGGACTGGACGCGGGAGGTGTTGGGTGCCAGTCGACCATAGTGGCGAAGCCACCGCTCCGACATGAAAGCCAAGTCGAGGAACACGGTGGTGATGACGCAGCCGGTGATGAAGAGCGGTTTCAATCCAAAGGCTCCTATGTCAGATATGTAGGCAATATGCTGATCGGGGTCCATAGACGGTAGGTGAGGATGTCCTTCGGCTTCCCAGGTGCAGAACATGGCCAGCAGCATACCGAGCCACCTGTGAGAACAGTTAGAGACGAGTTTGAAATGAATCGAACGGCCAAGAAGACGTACATGCCCGCCGAGATGACAGGGAACCACCAAGCACTGAGCCACCACATACTGTCGGTTGTTGAGAGACTTGTTGGCAGAGTAGAGACTCAAAGCACGACGGTGAAGGTGGAGGTGGAGGTGGGAGCTAGGCTAGGCGAAGGCGCAAGATGACTTTGTCTGGTGACAAAAGGAGAAGGCAGAAAGCAGGTCAATATGAACGAAACGATAATATGTACTTGGTATGGATGAATTCTCTCAATTCTTAATGCCGAAGAGACACGGGAGGCTAATGTTGGTGATTAAGTAATGGGTTGTCACCCGAGATCGACCAGGAAATCCTGAGGCAATGACGGAGCGATGTTCCAGTGGCGTCGCCATTCAGGCCTATCTCATTGGCCCTTCGTAGAGTCGCAGGACAATGAGGGACATTCTGTGCAAGGCACATACTTGTTGGGCAAAGTGCTATAGTGGACATAGCGACATGGGCGGATATAGCGGCGACGAGCTTCCGTGCTGGTGAAAATCACAAGTGAAAAAGTTAGAAAGTGACCGGTCGATAGCACGACGTCATAGGTGCCTCAGAGAGTTATTAGTGCTGTGGGAAGGCGGTGACAGAGTCCTGGATGATCCAATCACAGCCGTGGCTTGGCATCTTCCGTGGCGTCCCGAACATGACGACATGGCAAACTCTCGGTC